TCTCTCTCTCGATTTCTAGATTGGATACAGACATATCGACTGTGCTTCAATTTACGGTAACGAAAAAGAGGTAAAATTTCTGATTTTTAACAAATTTTCTATATATGTATTCTGATCTTGACATCGATCTTGATCACTGTTCCTATTCCTTTCTTTTTTCATTTGGCAATGAAAACATGCATTTTGATTCAATTTTTGTAACTTGTATACAAATTTGTGGGGTTAAAGTGTCCTGCTTCTACTTATTTGGTTGTTCTCATGCTATATGGTTCCGTTTTACTAGATTGGTTATGTATTGAAGAAGCTAATTGATGGTGGATTCGTGAAGCGTGATGAGTTATTCATCACTTCGAAACTCTGGTTTGTCTTTGTTCTTCCTCTGAGCATGCTTTTTTTTTTTTGTCTTGCACACACATGTTCATGGTTTTTTTTTCTTCTTTTGTTATGTTAGGTGCAATGATCATTTGCCTGAAGATGTACCTAAGGCACTAGACAAAACATTGCAGGACTTACAAATTGACTACGTTGATTTATATCTGGTACATTTTTTAACTTTAGAAAATGCATATTAGATTCTTATAAATTGCTTTCATTTTGATGTGTATCTGCTTTTTTTTTGTTGAAGATACATTGGCCAGTGAGTTTGAAGAAGGAATCACGTGTGCCAACACCTGAAACGCTCACGAACACTGACATACCAAGTACATGGAAAGCAATGGAAGCTCTCTATCACTCTGGAAAAGCTCGAGCAATTGGTGTTAGCAATTTCTCGTCGAAGAAGCTTCAAGATCTTCTTAACCTGGCGCAGGTAGTCCCGGCTGTTAACCAAGTGGAATGCCACCCAGTTTGGCAGCAACAATCTCTTCATGAACTATGCAAAGCCAAAGGAGTTCACTTATCCGTGAGTATACTACGGTATACACAATTCTGATTTACTATGTTTCCTAGTATGAATTAACGAAGTTGCCCGTCATTGGTTTTGCGATTGGTGATAGGGTTACTCTCCTTTAGGTTCCCAATCTAAGGGAGAAGTCAGGCTAAAGGTTCTTCAGAACCAGATTGTCGCCGAGGTTGCAGAGAAACTTGGAAAGACCACCGCTCAAGTGGCTCTCCGTTGGGGACTTCAAATGGGTCATAGTGTTCTACCAAAAAGCTCGAGCGAGGCTCGGCTCCTGGAGAATTTTGATGTTTTTGACTGGTCCATACCTGAAGATCTGTTTGTCAAGTTCTCTAACATTCCCCAGGCAAGTTTTTTCCTTTCTTCTTCTTTTGTTTCTATGGGAGATTCTTATGTAAGATCTCAAGTCACTAAGAAAAATCATTCACCATAAAGAAACACCCTTCATTGTCGATTGTTATAAATCATTGAACGATGGTTTTACCATCTCTTTTAACTCTTGCAGGAGAAGTTAATCCAAGGTGCTGATTTCACGCATGAGACTCGCGGCTTTTATAAGACCGTAGATGAGCTATGGGACGGTGAAGTTTGAGAAACATCATCTAGACGTGAAGAACATCGAATTATTATAATGTTTTTATATAATCCTTCATGTTTGTTCTCGGTGAGAAACACTACTAACACATGAAATGTCATGTGGTTTGGCAACTGGTCTGTAAACAATAAAATGATTTCAACTAGTATTACAAATTCGAGATACTCCTCCCCAAATGTTCTGTATAAACTTCGATACTTGTTCTTACAATTTTTGTTTCATTTTTGTAGCAAGTGCACACTCTTAACATTTGTGAATCATTTTAACAATATTTACAAACGTTAGGAAAATTGTTTCTTTTTTTCTATAAACCTTCTTATTCAATCCGAGGCCCAAAAATTTTGCGTAACTTATATACTTTTTCATCAAAAATTACATAACGTTTTAAAATGATATTTTTATGGGTTAATTTGTGATATAACCAAACAAAAAAAAATTATATAAAAAAAACTAACTAAAAACTTTATATCTAATGGCTACAATATTGCCGAATAAGAAGGATTTGGCTAGTTTTTAAGATACAATTTTTTGTGTGTTATATGGCCAATTATCCCTATTTTTATTGTGAAACAAAATAAAAAAAAAATATGAATCTGAAAAAGGCCATGTTTTTCTAATAAAAACGAAACATTTAAGTGAGTTTTCCCATATTATTCTCCAATTTTTTTTCCTTTTTTGTCATACTATCCAAAATTTTCTCTTCAAAGGGAATGACAAGGTCGCCGACATAAAAAAAAAGATGTCATTTAGACGATCACAGATTTGCAAGAAGAAATCCAAACGAATGAATAAGATTCCTCCACGTAACAGTCAATATCTGTTAACATGTAAAGTTCAAGAAAAGAAGCATTTCCCCACGAGAAGAAACATCATCGTTCTCACTTGTCACTCTATTTTTGTTTTGCTTTAATAATGGAAGTTGAGAAATGCTAATTACATTGAATCACCACCAAATATATCTTATCAATCTCCAAATCTCTGTTAATGGCGAACGCGATCAAATTCTTCGAGCTCAACACCGGAGCTAAGATCCCGTCGGTTGGTCTCGGAACATGGCAAGCCTCTCCTGGTCTTGTCGGCGATGCCGTCGCTACCGCCGTTAAGGTTCGTAATCTTATTTGCTTCCGATCTCTTTTAAGTTTTGTCTAAGATTCTTCGGTATGGTGATTCGAAACCACGGCAATGCTCTGTTTTAACTTGGATGTGTGAAAGTGAAACTGAAGATGTTTTGTCTTAATTCTTATTTTGCAGATTGGTTATCGTCATATTGATTGTGCTCAGATCTATGGCAACGAAAAAGAGGTAGATCTATAAGTCCCATTCGGGTTTATTTATTTTTTCGGGTCGGGTTCGGTTCCTTTAGGGTTCTTTCTGGTTTCTCTAGAGACTCTCTTGAATCTTGTTGCGTTCCTATTTTTTGTCTGGTTGTGTTTCTTCCTATGAAGATACTTGAAAACTCTTTCTTTGCGATCCTGCACAGATTGGGGCAGTTCTGAAAAAATTGTTTGAAGACAGTGTAGTGAAACGCGAGGAGTTGTTCATCACCTCCAAACTTTGGTATGTTGTGTTTATCTAATGTACATTGTGTGAATAAAGTGTAGCTTTAATCTCTTGAAATTGTGTTATCATCAAAAGGTGTACTGATCATGACCCTCAAGATGTGCCTGAGGCATTGAACAGAACTCTACAGGATCTGCAGCTTGATTACATCGATCTGTATTTGGTAAGTATTCACTTCGATGTAACAATTGTGCGATTTTATGTTTAAGAAGTGTGTAAATCTGTTC